CCTGCGACGATATTGGGGAGGTGCTTCCGGACCACTGGTCTGGTACTGTTCCTGTCTTTAAGCCGACCATGCACCAGTTCAAAGATTTCAAGCGCTTCGTAGGTTTGAACAAAGACTTTGTCGTTCTGTACTAACCCCTTTCAAGATGGAAGCTGTCGACAGCTATGGTATGAAGTCTGGCATTATCAAGATCATCCCTCCGGAAGAATGGAAGGAATCGCTCCCGAAGCTCGACGAATTGGTAAAACAAGTCAAAGTGCGAGAACCGATCAAGCAGGATATCATGGGTTCCAATGGAACATATCGTCAGGTTAATATTGTTCACGGCCGGTCGTACAACCTTCCTCAATGGCGCCAGCTTTGCGATCAGAGCGAACACCAACCTCCAGCCAGACGTGGCGAACGACGTGCAAACGCCGAAAAACCAAAGCCACGAACCCGAGCAGCAGCAGCGGCAGCGGCATCCAATACTGCGGATTCCGCGACTCCCAAGAAGCGAGGGCGAGGGCGACCAGCTAAACGCGGAGCTAGAGGCAAACGTGTGAAGGAGGAGCCAGAGGCTGACGATGACCGCCCCATGACACCTGTTTCCCCTAAGCCAGATGCTGCAGAAACTCAAGAACCACCAATCCAATCCATCGAGAAGGACCCGGGCGTCGAGGATGATGAAGGCTATGAGCCCACCGTTGGTCGCATGGGTTCCCGACAAGCAAAGGCCAAGACCCAAACAGTCTCGGCGCGGCGCAAGTATAGTCGCCGAGAAGGATCCGCCATGATTGACGAAGCTGCATTCAAGGACTGGGATTACAAGATGGATATTTCAGAATACACCCCTGAGCGCTGTGAGGAGCTGGAGAGGGTATACTGGAAGACGCTTACCTATGCGCCGCCTCTCTACGGCGCTGATCTGATGGGCACCCTTTTTGACGAATCGATGGAGACGTGGAACCTCAACAAGTTGCCTAACCTCTTGGACGTTCTCGGAACCAAGGTTCCAGGAGTCAACACGGCGTACCTCTACCTGGGCATGTGGAAGGCGACCTTTGCCTGGCATCTGGAGGATGTTGATTTGTACAGCATCAACTACCTCCACTTTGGTGCTCCCAAACAGTGGTACAGCATTTCCCAAGCGGACGCCCGTCGATTCGAGGCTGCCATGAAGAATATCTGGCCCGCAGATGCCAAGGCCTGCGATCAGTTCCTGAGACACAAGGGCTTCCTTATCTCGCCACAACATCTAAAGTCACATTACAACATCACAGTCAACAAATGCGTTTCATACCCGGGCGAGTTCGTGGTCACATACCCGTACGGATACCATTCTGGTTACAACTTGGGTTACAACTGCGCCGAGGCCGTCAACTTCGCGTTGGATTCCTGGCTTGATATCGGCAAGATTGCCAAGAAGTGCGAGTGCGCTCAGGCGCAGGACAGCGTCTGGGTTAATGTCTACGAGATCGAGCGAAAACTGCGTGGGGAGGAGACAGAATACGAGGAAACAGAGGATGAAGAGGACGAAGAGGATGATGACGACGAGAGGTCTGGCCTACCAACACCACCGTCAGGTTCTGGTGTCAAGTTCAAGGAGACTGGCCGGAAGCGAAAGCGTGGACCTGGCGAGAAGGGAGGCAAGGTCAAGAAGATCAGACTTCGTCTCAGGACGAAGGCTGAGCCTCCTTGTTGCCTTTGTCCCAATGAAGTCCCAACAGCCGAGCTGTTGCCCACTGATGACGGCCGAAAGGCTCATCGGACGTGTGCCCTCTATCTCCCTGAGACGTACATTGATACCGTCGACGGGCAGGAGATTGTTGCCAATGTGGCAGCCATCCACAAGGATCGCCTTGATCTCAAGTGTCTATACTGTCGCTCCAGGCGCGGTGCATGTTTCCAATGTTCGCAAAAGAAGTGTGCGAGAGCCTATCACCCAACATGTGCAGCTGCAGCAGGTGTTTTTATCGAAGAACAAGATGTTCCTGTTTTCGGGGAAGACGGCACCGAATACAAGGAGAAAGCATTTGGATTCAGCTGTCGATTCCATCGGACGAAGCGAGACAAGACGTTGGATGGAGATGCACTGGAAGCCGACTCACGGATCCAGGCAGCAGCAGCTAAACTTCGAAAAGGAGACACTTGCCAGCTACAATATTTCAAAGGGGAAATTTTCGCTGGTGTTATTGTCGAAACGCGCCCTGATGAGCAAACGCTGCTTCTTGATATTCTACCAAACGGGTACGTCACCACTGCTTTTATCACCTATTTTATTTATCCCCAATACGTCAAAACAACACAAAACAAAGAGAAAAGCTGACTTTTTGTTTTTTAGCGATCGCCTCGAGGTTGAATGGAAGTGGTTGTTGCTGCCAGATCCTGCTGATTACCGTTTGCCAAAGGCATCAGCAAAGGCCATCCCAATGCCTACTTCGCAGAAGGACAAGGAGAAGCTGAAGACCAAGCGTCTCAGCGACAACAAACCCCAGAAGGACGATCCGTTTGTTGAAGGCTGCACTTGGGCTGATTTCCAGGTGCATCCAGTCAGCAACAAGTTCCAGGTCAAAATCGACTTCTCCAAGCCTGATCAACTCTGGCACTACCTGGGCAAGACGTCGACCGAGGCCAAGGCCCAGTACACTGAGGATCCTTCCAAACCGCGTCACAATCCAAAGGGCAACTACTTGGATACGCTTCCCAAGGAACCTAAGCCGGTCAAGCCCCCGAAGGTGATCCCAGCCAATGTGCCGCGATACACGTATGCACCAGCAACTTCATTCGGCGGCCCATACCCTGCTGTCAGGCCTGTTGCTCCTCTAGCTTCAGCTCGGCCAGAGAAGCCATACGTCTACAAGCCACGAAAGCCTATCGAGGCCAACTTTGCTGCTGCAGCAGGGAGCTTCACCACCCAACGATTCACCCCAACTGCTCCAGCACCCGCTCCTCCCCAGCAACCTCCTACCAGGTATCATCACTACTCGTACACACAGCCGCAAGGGAGCCAGGTTCCAGCTCCGTATTCTGCTCAGAGATTTGAGGTTAGGACTCCTCAGAGTTTCGCAAATGCTGGACACTCATCTGGACCATCTCGCCCCCCAGCGCAGCCTCAACACCACCAGTGGCAGCATTCTGCTGCTCCCAGACCAGCACCCTCAGCTCGAGCCCCTGTACCTGCGCCTGCGCCTGTACCTGCACCCGTGACACAGCAGCAAGCTAATTATGGGCACACACGCCCTCAACTCAAGCCATCGTGGCAGGTTCATACGTCAATCTACCACAAATACCCCTTCTTCCAGGTCAACCACAACAGGTATGTCTCACAGTTTGTATGTACGGCCCCAGCTAACGTTCACGAAGGGACTCTACCAAGTACAAGACACCCTACGCAGCATGGGGAGGGTTCACCAACGGATACGAAGGCAACCTAAGAGCTCACATCATGGCCAACAAGGACACTTTCCTTCACCACAAGTCTCCTTACGGTCAGCAGCCTGCAGCTCCAGTTAGAAACCCGGCTCCAACGCAAGCACCTCCTAGCACTACTAGCGGTCAGAACCCCTTTTCAAAGCCACCAGCTTCCAAGCCTGCAGCCGCTGCTCCTCCGATCCTGGGGATCCTACCTCGTCCTGCAATCAAGGCCCAGTATCTGCCAGGTGCACAGGCACGTCCTCAAGTGGTTCAGCCTGCCCACGCAGTTCAGCCTCCACAAGCAGCTCGACCTCCACAAGCCGTCCAGCGCCCACCAACGGTTCAGCACCCACCAGTGGTTCAGCACCCGCAAGCGGCTCGACCTCAGTCCGCCGTTCAGCCTCCACAAGCTGCTCACTCGCCTAACCAGAGCAGCAGACCAAAGATGGCACATCCGGCCAAGCCGTATAAGGTAAGTAGCTGGAACTATCGAGAGTAGTCACGGGTCGGCTGAGCCGCCAATCCAGATACCTCCCAAGGAGTCGCCAGTGCCGCTGCCGGCGAACTTCCTGGCGGCCATGAATTCGACTCCGAGTGCTCCCGCTACTGGAGCAACCCAGAAATCACCAAAGGGTTTAGTCATGAACAAGCAAACCCCAGTTCCGATTCCCCAGCTGCCTGGGATTTCCCCTATAGCACATCAACAATATCCCGGTGTACCTCAGCAAGCAATTTTGGATCGATCCCCTCGTGGATCAACAAGGACCACCGCTGGGCCTTCTACGCGCCAATCTGCGAGATCAGTTCACATTTCAAGTTCGACAAGCTCAACATCTACACCAACACGTAAGCAAGTGCCTGCACATCCAGTGCAGCCTGCTGAACGTACTTTGCCGGAGCCAGTTACAAAGGCATCGAACACACCCTCCAAGACTGGCCCTTACGAGCCTCAAGGGTTTCCAGACGTTCCGGGATGTGAATCTATGGAGTTTGTCGAACGTCTCATGAGTAACCTCCGCAAGGTTTCGCAGCGCGGCACCATGAATTAGGTGGAATACAACAGGTTTTTCGGTCAAGGTTCCTCCTTAGGGCCTGTACAATACCCCCGACTTGCATCATTTTGACTTTAGGAGACGTGGCGTTTAGGGGCATCAGGGAATTTTTTTCAGGTCACGCATACTCAAACGGAAATGCGTGAAATTACGGACGGAAACGAAATGCAACGAAGCGCATGATCAGGCTTTGGGAAGCCTGGCACACGGGCATGCAAGGGCGGCTTCTGTGTAGAATTATTGTTTGGCGTACTGTATAGCTATAGTGTTTCATGAAATGGCAATAAAGCCGAAAAGCAAGTTGTGGACCTATGATGTAAAGATGTGATGAGGCTCGAAGCTTGTATTTGAGTATTATTGGTGGCATTCCCATGCCATGAGCGTGACTATGGATGAAGACTGTAGTAAGTCCTCCTTCATCGAGTCCCCGGGATATCAGATGCTGTATATATAGAACACGAATAGTGAAATAACCCACCATGGAGTATTTCGCTGGGTATCGTAAACGCTCAAACTCGCTCTTCGGATAGGTGGCAGAACTCAGATCCTAAATCAAGCTGTTTCCCTCATATGAACTGGACAATATGGCTGAGCTGCCACGAGTCCGTTCACTTCCAAGTCCTCATCAAGAAAATCGTTCCCCGGGCATTCTCCCTTAATGTGTCCTCCCTCGGCCTCTTGCTCGATTTCGCCATCGTCAGACTCTGATATGACCTCGTCGTTGTTCACTTGAAAGAGCTCATCCTTGACCACCAGTACAGGCTCACGTTGGATGTTGTCGATCTCGTTCCAGAATAATACCCTTTCGAGTGTCGGGTAGTATTCGACGCCACGCTCAAGATCCTCGCGGTGAGGACTGGGTGATTGACCCATCTTCATGGCGGAGAGATGTTGCCGTCTTGAAGGGCGAGAACTGTATCCTTCCGTGTCCATTCTTGATGCGCGTGCCTGGAAGTCTTGGAAGTCGCAAAAATTGATACCGTCCTCAAACAGCCTTTCGTCATCGAAAAAGGCCCATGCTCGCTGTTGATACATCCGTATATACGCTTGGACAAGGGCTTCGGGTCCTTGAGCAAAATGGAAGCGGAATCTGAGTTCTGCCCATAAACCATCATCTGGAATGACTGGGTTGTAATATCTGTCGATGGTCGGATGGGAACTACTTCTGGGAGCCATCATGGGAGTTTGTATCGCCATCTCGTCGTAGAGATGATCGAAAAAGGTCTTGCACTCTTTAATATCCAGCCTGAGTAACTCGTCGATCAGGGTGATTCCAGAGGCAGCAAGACAGTTGATGAAGTTGCAGATGACCTCAGGTTCTGGACTCGTCATGTGAAGTTCCGGGTTGAACTGGACATTGTTGGGAAAGACGGGCCCCTCAAACGCCCTCCAAGCTCCACGACGCTCATCGAGCAGGGCGGCCACTGTCTTGAAGCCGTCGTCCGCGAACCTAGCGGCGAGAGCCCCTACCAAAGTACGAAAGTACTCGTGGACGCATTGAATGGTGTCGATATCCCTGATGCTAGGACGGTAGCTCGTCCCCCACTGAGGCATCAACCACCAACTCTGCTCCTCAGGAACACGAGTATGGGACCAGTATCTAGGTCTTACCGGTTTCGCCAGGCAGTTAAGTTGATAATAGAAAAAAGCCTGGAATAGCCTATCGCGTTCCGTACTCGAGAGAGAATTAAGGTGGACGCGGTCTTGGGACTTGACCTCGACGGTTCGATGCTCGTCGTAGGAGAGATGGCACCAGTGAGGTAGCTTCAGGTAAGCGTGGACGAGGTCTGAGCTTAAAGCTTTTGAGAGATAATCTTCCATGTACTGCTCCGTCAAGCGCACAAACTGGTACACCTTGTCGAGCTCTTTTGGGAGATACTCTTCCAGGGGGTCCGGCAGCTCAAGGGCGAGCCATTCTTCGAGATGCAAATTGATGGTATTAGGCATATAATCGAACTTGCAGGGCCTTGGAAAGTTGATGATTGCCATAACATCTTGAATTCTGTGCTTGAGGTTCTCCGAGAATACACGCTCGAGATAGTCCCTCCGGGCAGAGTAGCTGGAAAGGAAAGTAGCCTTGTGAACGGTGTTCGGGTCGACGGTTTGGTTTAGCCGGTCCATTTCATATTTGAGCTCGTAGTGAAGTCTAGAGCCGGGCTGAGGAGTATAGAATTCGGCTGATGTTGACTTCATGCTGCTTTTTTTTTCGTCAGAGGTTGTTCAAGAGATGCCAATATTAGGTTTGAGGTGAGAGGCGTCTTGAAGTCGAAAGAGAAGAGGACTCTCGTGAGAGAAATGAGGAAATAGTTCGTTCAAGTTTGTATATAGAAAAACAAGAAAGTGTTGTTAGCTTGGCAAGTCTAGCAAGCGAAAGAGAGGGGAAGAAGGGGAAGTGTTGAGGACGGAGAGGATCTTCTCGGCCGTATGGGACAAGATTCCCAATTTTAAGATTCGAATCAAAGTAAACTCTTCAAATTCGGCCTCAAGCTTGAACTGTGAGGTATCATGGCATAAAAGTCGATCCAAGAAGGATCGTAGTCGCATCAAGATGTGCATCAAGTTGGTCCTGTGAAGGGAACAAGAGAAATGCCCCTGACAAAGAATATGAATGTCGTATCTGAAAGACAAACAACAATGAACAGAGCTGTCAGGAGTGAAGGTGAATAAATTTTGCCAACGGTCTGTTTTGAGTTGACCTTTATTCAAGCTTCTTTGTCTCGTCGGCGGTTTGTCACCTCTTTGCACTTGCCTTTGGCCTTGTTTCCAGCTGTCCATCACCGTCAATCTTCCACAGTATTTCTAGCCTTGTGATTCGCAGAAAATACCCCAGGCTTGTCACTGGCAAAGCGGGCCGTGAGAAGCTATTCCCACCCACATGTTGTTTGCCCAAGCCCCTAACGGGAACAATGAATCAAACAGAAACAGAAGCATAGACAACTTTGTCCACTGCAATATCCCCATCAGCAACGTTTGCAAATCCTCTCACGTGAGGCGTAATACTTTTTTTCGAACCGCTGCAGGCACCCTCACAGAGGTTGTCCAACACGTGCAGTGCAGTGCACCTCAGTTATCCCGTCCCGTCGTCACTGCAGTGCAGGCGGCCGGCGAGGTAAAGGACTCCTCCTCCTGCTTTATCTTTATGCCTGGACCCGTCCATCGCATACATCAAAAAAAATCCTCATCTCTTCAATCTCGACCTTTTTTTCAATCACACCCACGCTCTTTCTACACCAACAAAGAACACTTCTGCCTGCGCATCCACTAGGCGCTTTCTTTCAACAACATGTCATCGTCGCTGGGGGTTTGGGATAGCGAAGACATTGAGCAGTCTAGGGTCCGGAATCGCGACTTCCCTGGCGGCCCTTACATTCGAGGGACTCTTCTAGGTCAAGGCGGCTTCGCCTGCGTTTACAAGGTTCTTCGGCAACGCGATGGAGGCGTGTTTGCCGGCAAGACCTCTCCTAATGCAGTGAATAACCTCCGCAGGGAGGCTTCCGTGCTCCGAAATCTGAACCACGTAAGTGAATGATGGTCCATACTCATACAGCTGATACTTATCAGGTTGATATAGGAACACATCGTCAAGTACATTGACTATTACGAGGACGCAGACTATCCCTCCGCAAATGTCCTCGTACTGGAGCTTTGCCCACATGGCAACCTGCAAACACTCATCAACGACTACACATATGGCGTACCACAGAAGAAGACGCTGGAAGTGATGCTTCAACTCTCACGGGCTCTTCGATACCTCCACGGACAGGGTCGTTACCACGGAGACTTTAAACCGCGAAATGTCCTAGTTCGATCGTGGGATCCTGTCAACGTGGCCATGGCCGACTGCGCGGATGTCAAGCGAGTCATCAACATCAACAGCCGTGACAAGCCACACGGGACAAAGTCATACTGGTCGCCGTACGTCTTTCGACACAACCGACACGCAGGGACTAGCGACGACATCTGGGCCCTGGGCGTCTCCCTGCTCGCCATGATGTCGCAGTCTCCTAGATTCGTCAAGAAGGAGGAGCGCATGTATCCCCGACAATGCCACACACACGCCCAGAACCTGCTGGATCTGAACCCGGATCATGACATTGTCGGGCTCGCGAGTCGCATGCTGGAATGGAATCCCAAGGCTCGAGTGACAGCAGCGGAGCTTGTCGAGGTCATCCCCGACATGCTCGACAAGGTCGAACGACAAGAATATGAGACAGGGATGGCAAAGAGGATGGAACTCAAGATTCCAGAGGGTTTTGAGCCCATCGTTTTCTGGTAATGGATGGTTGAGCGTGAAAGCTACAGGAGTTGAGGGGATGTAATCAAACGGAAGCAAGGTTGTAGGTATGGACTTTGCAGTTGTATGAGAACTTAATACAAACTGCGACACAGCCTTGAATGCTGTGGTTCGCTGAATCAAACTGAACAGTTGAAGCTCTTGTCATGGTGAGTGATGAAGTAGGATGTATGCAGCCGATAACAACATCGACGTTCAACCTTGAAGTCCAGCCCACCACCTCCGGCCTCGGCCGGCTCGTACGAAACTCGGCATCGGGTCGGAGGCGGGATAGAAGAGGGTACCATCGGAAGCAACCCGACGCAGGCCGGGACTCATTTCTTGAATTGCAAGACCTCAAATGAAAGCTGATTCGACGAGCTTCATAGCGTCCTACCCCAGTGTGGAGTTGTCGAACCAATCCTCGCGGAAATAGAATCAAGTCCTCATCATTGGAGGGTATGACGCGATTCGCACTGTCTCCCCCAGACTCCACCACATTAGTCATCAGATATTCGTCCCCGGTTACGGCGATGTCGCAACTGCCAAACCTTGTGGAGAGGAGACCGCTCGCGGCCCAATTGAGATAATCTTTCCGCGAGAAGATAATAAGTGAGATGCCCTGAAGACTTGCCTGAGAAAAAAAAATAAGAGGTCATCTGACTAATACCCAGGATAGGTCGTTTTGTCGTGGTTAATGTCGCGCTCCATATTAACCACTGGCCCCTCCTCCTCTCAGTCTGTGCTCCTCCGGACCGCACTTCGAAGCATCACCCCTCTTCACTCGAGATCTTTCTCTAGCAGCGTCACTATGAGCCAGACACGGAAGCTTCACCCCGCGGCGCGAGTGGAGGGCCAGAGACAAGATGTCTGGTGAGTCTTGGCACTGTATGGCTTTGACGACTTGTGACTCTGACTGTGCTGGCTCACAGGTCCATCATCAATGAGGCCGCTGCCTCTTCTCCCAATCAGCCTATCGTGAACTTGGGCCAGGGTTTCTTTGGATATAACCCTCCCAAGTTCATTCTTGATGCTGCCAAGGAGGCCTTGGACCGTGTTGAGTGCAACCAGTATGCTCCCGCCAAGGGACGACCTCGGTTGAGAAAGGCCATTGCGGATGCCTACTCACCCTTCTGGGGTCGTCAGCTGAACCCCGAGACTGAGGTTGTTGTCACCACCGGCGCTAATGAGGGTATGCTCTCTGCTTTTATGGGCTTTATCGAGCCTGGTGATGAGGTTATTGTCTTTGAGCCTTTCTTTGATCAGTGAGTACCTGGTTGTCTTATCAGTCCCTGAGCAGCTCACTGATAGTCATCTAGATACATTAGCAACATCCAGATGGCTGGTGGAAAGATTGTTTATGTGCCTCTGCACCCTCCTGCGTCGGGAGCTACTAGCAACTCTTCTGCTGCTGACTGGACTGTTGACTTTGAAGAGCTCGAGAGGGCCTTCACTCCCCGCACCAAGATGATTGTCATCAACACTCCCCGTGGGTACTCTAAACTTGAACTGCGGTTCCAAGCTGACAACTAGTAGATAACCCTGTTGGAAAGGTCTTTTCCAAGGAAGAGGTCCAGAAGATTGGAGACATTTGTGTCAAGAACCAGGTCATTATCCTCTCCGATGAGGTGTACGACCGTCTCTACTATGTGCCCTTCAACCGAATTGCCAAGGTTTCTCCAGAGGTTGAGAAGATTACTCTTACTGTTGGCTCTGCCGGAAAGAACTTTTATGCTACTGGCTGGCGTGTTGGTATGTTGACCTCGACCATCTTCAAGGAGTAACAGGAACTGACATGTTTATAGGTTGGCTGATTGGCCCCCCTGAGCTCATCCAGCACGTCTCTGCCGCCCACACCCGCATCTGCTTCTCCACCGTGGCACCCCTCCAGGAGGCCGCAGCCGTCGGCTTTGAGAAGGCTGCCACCAACGGCTTTTGGGATGAGACGATCAAGGAGATGAAGGGCAAGATCGACCGACTCAAGGAGGTCTTTGAGGAGCTTCACCTGCCTGTCACCTACCCCGAGGGTGGATATTTCTTGCTTGTCAACATGGCCAAGGTGAAGCTCCCTGAGGACTACCCCTTCCCTCCCCACGTGGCTAGCCGCCCACGCGACTTTAAGCTGGCGTGGTTCCTGATCCAGGAGGTTGGTGTTGCGGCGATCCCTCCGACTGAGTTTTACACTGAGGGCAACGCGCACCTGGCTGAGGACTACATCCGGTTCGCGGTGTGCAAGAATGATGATGTGCTGGAGCAGGCCAAGGAGCGTCTAAGGAGCCTGAAGAAGTACATCCAGGAGTAAAGAGTAAAGATTTAAAAAGCGTTAAATGGAGAGTTAGATATCTGATAGATGAATGTCATAGATTTACTTTGAACAAATCGGGAGGTGTCCCGTATATGCGTGTCTACCCTTGTTCATGCACATTGGTCGATTGATATGTACGTAGAAGCATGCTGGGAACCTGGGGAAGTCGGGATAAATCCCCGGATAGGATGCCAAGAGATAACCGTGTTGATACCTGGAGCAGCTACAACAAAGTGATATGGCTCGAACAGTTTGTGCTCGTTGATAGGTATGGGGTGATCATATAGACCAGAAATCACTCTGGGATAAGGGCAAGAATTAACCAAAGCTATATATCTTGACAGCTGTGTCTATTACAAACCTCCATCTTTATCTCCGTCCATACAGGTCCCTCCCTATCTTCAGGTGGAAGCCCCCGATCAAACTCCCCGCGGAGCCGGCCGAGGCGGTGGACCCTTCCGGAGGAAAAGAGACGTGGGGTAAGCGGCATGTTCCCCGCCCCGAGGTGGCGCACGGGTGTAAATCTGCCCTTATCAGTGGCGATTGGCGATTAGTACTACCCCGTCTCTGGCTGGCGGGCGAATCAAACAATCTGGCACTCGCTGCCCGCACATGCAAACTCGCCCGCGTTTGCTCACCGTTCACCTCCCGTTAATCAATCAGGGAAGGTGCTGTTGCACAAGCGTGGACTGTCAGTGGTAGAGATGACGCACTGGCTTTTTTTACTGCTTTGATGATACCGACCCCCCTCTAACGCGTCTCGTGAGCCGTCTTGTATCTCCCCCCTCACCCTCGTCAGGAACCTCGGTTTGATATGAACCCTTAAAAGGATCCATTGCCTCTAGTTTTAAAGCTTGTTTTCTTTTTTCTCCTTCTAATTGTTTTCCCTTGCCACTGGACAGCAGGCGTTCATATTGTTGTCTGTTGATACTGTTGTCTCATACCTACTTGACCGCATCGTAACCATCATGGCGCCAAGCGCCGTGTCTCCCGTGCGGGACACCAACCCTGAGCCTTTGGCCACTCTGACCTCCAAATTCGACGATACCCTCCGTTTCTATTTGAACGGAACAAGAGTAGTGCTAGACGAGATCGACCCAGAGATTACAGTCCTCGAGTACCTACGGGGAATTGGACTTACAGGGACAAAGCTGTAAGTGCTCTGAAATCATCGTGAACCTCTTATGCTGACATATACAGTGGCTGTGGCGAAGGTGGTTGCGGAGCCTGTACCATTGTGGTCAGCCAGTTTAACCCCACGACGAAGCAGATCTACCATGCCAGCGTCAACGCTTGCTTGGCCCCTCTCGTCAGCTTAGATGGCAAGCATGTCATCACTGTCGAGGGTATCGGCAACACCCAGAGGCCTCATCCTGCTCAAGAACGGATCGCCAAGTCCAACGGCAGCCAATGTGGTTTCTGTACCCCTGGTATTGTGATGAGCTTGTACGCTCTGCTACGGAATAACACCTCGCCTTCGAAAGACGACGTCGAAGAGGCCTTTGATGGAAATCTGTGCCGATGTACGGGTTACAGATCGATTCTCGATGCGGCTCAGACCTTCAGCGTTGATAAGCCTGGTCAAAAGTTTAAGAAGGCTGGAGGAACTGGGTGCTGCATGGAGAATGGAAACGGTCCACCTAACGGAGGATGCTGTATGCAAAAGGCGAACCTGGACGACGCGCCGATCAAGAAGTTTACGCCACCGGGGTTCATCGAGTACAACCCAGAGACCGAACTCATCTTCCCGCCCGCCCTGAAGAGACACGAACTACGACCCCTGGCCTTTGGGAATAAGAGAAAGAGATGGTATCGACCTGTCACTCTCGATCAGCTCCTTCAGATCAAGGCCGCACATCCACAAGCAAAGATTATCGGTGGAAGCACAGAGACACAGATCGAGATCAAGTTCAAGGCTCTACAATACCCTGTCTCGGTATATGTTGGGGATATTGCTGAGTTACGGCAGTACAGCTTCAAGGACGATCACCTCGAGGTTGGCGGAAATGTTGTCTTGACTGACCTGGAGACGATATGCGAGCATGCCATCCCCCATTACGGACACGAGCGTGCTCAAGTCTTTGAGTCTATGCTTAAACAACTCAAGTTCTTTGCAGGTCGGCAGATTCGAAACGTCGGCACTCCAGCTGGAAACTTGGTCACGGCTTCACCAATCTCAGATCTGAACCCAGTGCTGTGGGCGGCCAACGCCGTGTTAGTCGCCAAGTCATCAACAAAAGAGACGGAAATTCCTGTCTCTCAGTTCTTTACCGGATACCGAAGAACGGCTCTTGCTCCAGATGCAATCATTGCATCAATACGAATCCCCGTTACGCAGGGAAAGGGCGAGTTCTTCAGGGCGTACAAGCAGGCGAAGCGGAAAGATGACGACATTGCCATTGTTACCGGCGCCCTCCGGGTGAGGCTGGATGACGAAGGCATCGTCACAGAAGTTAATCTCATTTATGGCGGCATGGCTGCGATGACCGTTGCTGCCAAGACAGCGATGGAGTATCTTATCGGGAAGCGCTTTGCGGACCTTGGTACCCTTGAAGGGACCATGAGCGCTCTCGGCCGAGACTTTGATCTGCAGTTCAGTGTCCCCGGAGGAATGGCTTCGTACCGAAAGGCTCTTGCATTTGGCTTCTTTTACCGATTCTACCACGACGTTCTCACCATTCTCGACGGGAGCTCGAACCATGTCGATAAGGAGGCGATCGATGAAATCGAGAGAGACCTATCAGGAGGACAAGTTGACGAGCATGCCGCGGCTGCATATACAAAGGAAGTTACCGGACAGTCCAAATCTCACCTGGCCGCCCTGAAGCAAACAACCGGCGAAGCACAGTATACCGACGACATTCCTCCCCTGAAAAACGAGCTTTATGCCTGTTACGTTCTCTCAAAGAGAGCCCACGCCAAGATTATCTCCATCGACTATGCAGATGCACTTGATATGCCTGGAGTGGTGGACGTCGTGGACAAGGATGATATGCCATCTGCGGACGCCAACAAGTTTGGACCGCCACACTTTGACGAAGTCATCTTTGCAGAGAACGAGATATTGACTGCAGGCCAACCGATCGCCCTGATACTAGCAACTTCACCTCAAAAGGCGCAAGAGGCAGCTAGGGCAGTCAAGGTGGAATACGAAGACCTTCCTGCGGTTCTCTCGATCGAGGACGCTATTGAAGCGGACAGCTATCACAAGTTCTTCCGCGAGATCAAAAAGGGTGATGCGGAGGAGGCTTTCAAGAAGTGCGATCACATCTTTACCGGTACGGTGAGGATGGGTGGACAAGAGCACTTCTACCTCGAGACGAATGCCTGTCTAGCCGTTCCAAAGCCTGAGGATGGTGAGATGGAGATATTTGCCAGCACACAAAACGCCAACGAGACGTGAGTTTAGCCTCCAGAGCACCATTCCGGTTCTAACATTTCCCAGGCAAGTATTTGCGTCACGAGTGTGTGACGTGCAAGCAAACAAGATTGTCGTACGCGTCAAGCGATTAGGCGGCGGTTTTGGTGGAAAGGAGTCACGATCAGTCATTCTCAGCTCTGCAGTGGCTCTCGCGGCAAAGAAGACCAAGAGACCTGTCCGCTACATGCTTACACGAGAGGAGGACATGGTGATAAGCGGTCAACGACATCCCTTCCTGGGCAAGTACAAGGTGGGAGTCAACAAGGACGGCAAGATCCAGGCCTTGGACTGCGACATCTTCAACAATGCAGGATGGACGTTTGACCTGAGCGCGGCGGTATGCGAGCGAGCCATGACCCACGTGGACGGGTGTTACAGCATCCCCAACGTGCATATCAGGGGACGTCTGTGCAAGACAAACACCATGTCCAACACGGCCTTCCGAGGCTTTGGCGGGCCTCAGGGCATGTTCATCGCCGAGACGTACATGGAGGAGGTGGCGGATCGGTTGGGCATGCCGGTCGAGCAGCTGCGGCAGATCAATATGTACGGGAGCGACGGCCAGACACACTTTGGCCAGGGGCTGGGAGACTGGCATGTGCCGCTCATGTATAAGCAGGTGCAAGATGAGGCCATCTACCCGCAGCGGAGATTCGCCGTGGCCGAGTTCAACAAGACCAATAGGTGGCGGAAGAGGGGCCTGGCCCTTATCCCGACAAAGTTTGGCATCTCGTTTACCGCCCTGTTTTTGAACCAGGCTGGTGCTCTCGTGCACATCTATCACGACGGCTCCATCCTGGTGGCCCACGGCGGTACGGAGATGGGACAGGGGTTGTACACCAAGCTCTCGCAGATTGCTGCACAGGCATTGGGTGTGCCGCTGGACAATGTGTTCATCTCGGAGACGTCGACCAACACTGTGGCCAACGCGTCTGCAACGGCAGCTTCAGCATCTTCAGATCTGAACGGTTATGCCATCTTTAATGCTTGCGAGCAGCTCAATGAGCGGTTGGCGCCTTATCGAAAGAAGCTGGGTCCTGAAGCAACCATGAAGGAGCTTGCTCACGCTGCTTACTTTGACCGTGTGAATCTTTCGGCACAGGGTTTCTACAAGACGCCAGAGATTGGCTACGACTGGAACACGGGCAAGGGCAAGATGTTTTTCTACTTTACGCAAGGAGTTGCTGCAGCTGAAGTCGAGTTGGATCTGCTGACAGGAACATGGACTTGTGTGCGGGCAGACATCAAAATGGATGTGGGACAATCGATCAACCCGGCGATCGACTACGGACAGATCCAAGGAGCGTTTATCCAAGGACTTGGCCTCTTCACCATGGAGGAGTCACTCTGGCTACGGAACGGGCCGAATGCCGGACACCTCTTCACGCGGGGACCAGGCACATACAAGATCCCCGGATTCCGTGACATCCCCCAGACCTTCAACGTATCGCTGCTCAAGGACGTGGAGTGGAAGGAGCTACGAACGATCCAGCGGAGCCGTGGCGTGGGGGAGCCTCCTCTCTTCATGGGCAGCTCCGTCTTCTTCGCGATCCGGGATGCGCTCAAGGCGGCTCGGGCGCAGGCCGGGGTAGCGGCTTCGGGGCAAGGCGAGGACAACGACGGGGGCCTGCTGAGGCTGGAGAGTCCGGCGACGCCCGAGAGGATTAGGTTGGCGTGTGAGGATGACATTATGCGCAGGGCGAGGGTTGTGCCCCGGGATGGGGAAAAGAGTTTCTTTGTGGCGATCTGATCCGATGAAAAGTGTGGAGGACGGGGCGGCAGATGAACGAGAGGGGGCATGTCTTGGAGGCTCGGTCTGGGCCAACGAGAACAAGGTCACGGCAAGTGACAGAGTGGGACAGGATGTGTCATGGGCTTGGTGTTGGCTGCTCTACGGAGTCACAGTGTTCTGGATGCTGGATGATAGTCATATGCATGGATGCATGATATGAAATGTGCTATATGTAGATGATGATAATGACAACAACAACAACAACAACAACTGCAAAAACCAACCTCGATTTAGATGCAAATGCATTTCGGTGCAACGATGTGCCGACAGCACAGCGTCATGAAGATTTGCAGAAAAACCAAAGGACTTGAACTCGGCCCTGCAGCGGGCGACATGTTTTAATGCAGAGACGCCAAGCGCTTGTCGCGCTCTTGCAGATCGAGTAACATTTGAGAGGTCATGCTTTGCGAGGAATTGCTTTGTTCAGCCACGCGTCTTGGAGAAAGATACATGTCGTTTCTTCTTCGGACTGGAGGCCGTGTCCGTTGCGGGGATTTTGGAGGGTACAGATTATGCTTCAATCAAGAGATAAACTCTCAACGGCCCATCTGATAATTCATCAGTTCCAGAAGCCTGGATCTTGATTGATCGACAGATGTACAAGTTATGGCACCAGACGGCCGGGTGGTGCTAGGGACCGAACAAATTCCAGCCTCCGAAAGTTGAGTGCCTGGCTGACCGTCCATGTCACCGATGTCTTGCATCGGCCCAACGGGGCTGGGATGGTCATCATGTCACCTTACGTATGCAAGTTTTGTATGTAAGTCCAAGGCAAAGTACCTGCTTGAAGAAGAGGCCGCCAGACACACACAAAAACAAGAGAACGAATTGGCTTGAGAGGAACACGTCCATGATTGTTGTCACAAGGCATATCATGAGGCGCGTTCCACGGGCGTGTCATGGATGATTGATAGCCGCGCATAGCCGATGTCCGGAATGACTTTTTTTTCTCTGGTCAAGACTTGAGCAGTTGCATCCAAACTTTGGGGGCTGACAGGCGGGGGGTTAGGTATCCAATTGAGCGGTGAAGGACCTGAGGCCTCTTGCGAAATATACCATGCGAGATTGCAAAGCCATGGCGATGCGATGGTCATCAAGAGGCCTACGCTGTGAGTGAATTCATTCAGAGAATAGCCCAAGTGAGAGATTACCCAATATGGAAAGGCGTCTTGAAGCCTAGCGCCATGGATCTTCCAAAGCCTTCTCCGTCTTCCATCTCGTTTTGGAAGGGGGGGAAAAAACTCGTACGCTTTAGATGCCATCGTACCAGGCCCCATAGTCCAAGCTGAAGATCAGATGATAGGTATGCCTGGCAGATACACAGCCCGTTTCATTTGGAACAAGAACAAGGGGAGAAAGTGGTCTGACAACGACTGTAGACAATTGGAGGCTGGGGTTTCTTACAGAGAGTCAGCAGATGTGAAATGAATTTCTCATCCTTGGTGTGTGTGATGGGGGCTTGGCTTTGAGCTTATTCATGCTGTGCCTGTCCCATCCCTCATTCGGCTATCTTGTGCTGCTCATTCTTCTTTTTCTCCTTCCGCTCTGCCGCGATTTTCGGCTCCGGGAAATTATGAGGGGTCCGAGGAAATGTGGTGTGTTTTCTGCTGATTGATGCAATACAAATCCATCATCCATGGAAAAGCACAGTTTACTGTTGATATCATTCAACACTGTATACGAATGCAATGCTTCCGAGTGTTGGCTTCACTGTCTCGTTATGTAAACCAGCTGTACGGTGCTTGCGCTAACGAGTCGGCTTGTGGAGCTGTTGCGCGCCTGGAGTGAAGGGAAGGTCAACCCGGCCGGACTGGAAGTCCGCTGGGAGAAAGAAGGCGTCTCGTTGCGGTCACTTTGCTGCGGGCGTTGAAACTTACAGAGCATACAGTGCTGTAGAGACAGACCCGGGATCCGCTCCGGCCGGTTTCTAATGCTGCTGCTCGCTCACCGGGGAGGCCAACCAGCGCTGCCCCGCGCCATTCCCTGGCCCTGACCGTCAAGTCATTGGAAGTCGTCCATTGTGATCCGTTTCTCCATCGAGCCATGAAGTAGTTTCATCCTTTCATCCTGGACTGGCCTGAGCTGGTCTGAGCTGAGCTGACGACATAGACTATTACCGTCTAGAATCAATCAATCTCACTGACCACCGGCGACAGAACCAACTGATGAACTAAACGTCAACCTAGGAACTGGCTGATCACCACCTCGAGTCCACCGAGAATAGATCCACACTCCACTCACTCCCCTCGTGCGTCTCGTCTCCTTCAGCGTCGTCTTGTCCTGCCCCCACAGTGGTCAACTAAGGCCCAGCCCGTTCCGGCCCCAGGTCAGGCCAAACTTCACCGTCTAGGTCCTCAAATCAGTCGGGTCTTGCAATTTTTGTCTCTCTCTCCGACTTGTTTTGTTTTAGAGACGGTCCCTTCTTTTACCTCCCCCCGAGCCAGCCTCGGCTGCTGAGCCATCAATTCCAAACACCCGACCCCCCAAAGCCGCTGCTGCCGACTGCCGTCTACAGTGCCGCCGCCTGCCTCACCTGAGCCTTGCCTTTCCCTCCCGCCTCGGCCTCACTCACTCCACCTCCGCCGCCACCTTCGATTCTTCCCCCCTCCCCCTCCACGGGACCATTTCCCGCGCGCGCGACACACCTACGGTGCCAGAACAGATTCACCCTTGCCCCGAGGCTCACCAGCCGCGCATGCGCTTCGCAGAGACGTCGCAGAACCGAACAGAAACAGCCGACTACGACCAACGTGCGGTGCGGTGCGGATGGATCGTGTCGCGTTCGGCTGAGCCGTAGACCTCGAGAGAAGAAGACGACCGCCGCTGCAGCGAGCCGCAAATGATCTGCGAACCTGACGCCCACTGCGTAACCTCGAGATCCAATGGGAGCATAGGACAACATGACCGACCGGAACGCCGCTGCCATGGGCAAGAGCGTCAAGGAGGACCCAGCCAAGGGTGACGATGGCAAAGCCAAGAATCGCGACAAGAGCTCGAATAGCGCCGCCACAGGCAACCACAAGACTCCTACCAAGAAGAGACGCAAAGTGAACCACGGTACGCCCAACCTAGAATGCTGTTGCTTTAACCTATTACTGCCTTGTCCCTTGTCGTATGCGCATGCGACCAAAGCCCGCGCCGTCGTTTGGTTGGTTGGGAGTTGCGGTTCTGGTTGCTCATTGTAGATGAGGTCCCGAGAGATGCTGAAGCACAACAAACCCCAACCACCTGCCGCCTCTGGCAACTCCTAGCTACGGTGGATAGGCAGGCTTCGGCGCGGCGCATGACTTTATTTTGAATCAAGACTTGAATCTGGGCTGACACTGCCGGGGGGCGCGCGCGTTCCTACAGCTTGCGTATATTGCCGACGATCTGTAAGTCAACCTCAAACTCAACCCATGCGCACTTCGCATTGGCTGCCTCGAGGTCTCTGAGACGGCCTCGGGCGCTCCGAGGCGCAGGACTATTTGCTGCGTCGACTGTGGTGCGACGATGCAACGCCTACGAGTTGACTTGCCTTGCCTTGTCTTCCTGTCGACCCTTGCCCTGCCTGACCTGCACCCGCTCCGAGTCCTGAGATAGAAGAGACGTTGCTGACACCATGTTTCCTATGCGGCTATAGCACATGACATGCGATCTTGTATGTAAGATCCTGGCGAACCCCCTTGATGCGCTGCGCTGCGCAGCTCAGCTCAGCTGGCAGTCGTATTTATCTGCCAGGGCGGAAAGGGGGCTTGCTTCTTCCCACCCTCGAAGACATGCCACTGACGTTGTGGATAGGAGAGACCATGCACGAGATGTATCAAGCGCAACATCGGGCACCTCTGCCACGACGAGCCCCGCGACGCCGACTCCAAAAAGGCCAAGAGCGTCCAGAGCATACAGAGCACCTCTGTTGTCGATGAGTCGGATGCCCAGTCCGACATGGCTCGAAGCTCCATCTCGAGCACCATGGGTCCACCGCCCAACTTTGATGCGACGAGGCAGAGAGGTGCCAAGGGATTTGGGGGCGTGCTGGGCCAGGGTAGCCCGCTGTCCATTGTGCAACCCGGTCATGTCTCCGGGCTGCAGGGAAATACGTTGAACAACGGCAACAGCAACGCGAATCAATGTACGTCTTGGGTCCCCTCTGTCCTGCCACTGGGAGGGGCCCGTCCCTTGCTTGTCTCGATTTTTAATCACGAGCGGAGCACGCACCGGGTGTGCTCGCCTTGCTGGGGGCTGGGCCTTGTCCTTGTGCCTGAGCTGAGCTTTGCTTGTTGTTCCTGATGTTCTGATGTTGAGTTGAGAGATCGCTGACACGCCACCCCAACCCAGTCGCTGGCTTTCAAGATGCGTGGATGACGGCCCAGAACCACTTCCATGACATGCACAGCTTCCACCCCAACTACATGATCGCCCCCGAAGTCACCCACGAGTTCAACCTTCTCAACGACTTCCTCCACACCAGCCTGCTCGATGACGGCGGGGTGCCGTCCGAAGACTCCCAGCAGAGCCCGGCGGCATTCAGAAGGTCGAGCCAGTCGGAAATGTTGCCTGGATTCGGCAACAGCAGCAACTCCCTGGCAGCTGGCGGCTCGAACCCGATGTCCAACAACATGTCGGGGGGATCGATGCTGCCACCCCCGACCAACAACCTCGAGGGCAAGGCCATCCCACGGCCGGGGAGCGTCGTGCCCGCCGACAAGGCCCGTGAATACTATCTCCAGGCCGCTGATCCATCGGGCAACGATACGCCCGAGGAGCGTATGGCACGTGTGCTCAAGGCCAAGTACGACGCCGGCCTGCTCAAGCCCTTCAACTACATCAAGGGGTACGCTCGCTTGGGTACTTACCTCGACTCTCACATCGCTCCATCGTCCAAGCAGAAGATTCTACGGACCATCAACCAGTTCCGGCCCAAGTTCCGCGAGAAGGCGCAGGCCTTGACGGATATGGAGCTTGTGTACGTTGAGATGTGGTTTGAGAAGCAGCTCATGGACTACGACCGGGTCTTTGCGAGCATGGCGGTACCAGCATGCTGCTGGCGAAGGACCGGTGAGATCTTTAGAGGCAACAAGGAGATGGCCGAGTTGATTGGCGTGTCAGTCGCCCAGCTCAGAGATGTGAGTCTTGTTCCCCTGATGCAGCTCCACGTGGCTCCGAGCACCTTGTCTCAGCGAGGAAGGCGGTCAAGATATGTTTGCTAACGCTAGTTGAATCTAGGGCAAGATTGCGTTGCACGAGATTCTCACAGAAGAATCAATGGTTCGCTACTGGGAAGAGTTTGGCACCATCGCTTTTGATCCGGCGCACGAGACCCTCCTGACGGCCTGCTCGCTCAAGAATCCCACTCCTGGGTCAAATCACCCCATTGTGAAATGCTGCTTCTCGTTTATGATTCGACGGGATGATCACAAATTGTACGTAGAGAGCTTGGTTGAGTGTCGTGTTATGTGTTACTAATAGCTCTCTTTTACTAGGCCAGCCTTAATTGTGGGCAACTTTTTACCCCACGACCCGCCTTTGCAATGACGACCAGGGGGGTCTTGAGATGACCTCATCTACAGTATCTACAGAATTGGATATGAGCCTCTTGATTGAGCAGGCAGTCGAGTTGAGTTGAAGGAGATAGGCCTGATTGGCACTTTGGAAACAAGGGAAAGAGAAAGGGCGCATTGGTTACCTTACGTTACGTTACGCTAGATTTGGAAAGCGTATATATATTGTCTATGACGCATTAGATAGCAAGTGTCTGTCTACATATGTCTATTGGTTTTTTAATAACCATTTTTGGATTGCTTGATATTGAGTCTGGGTTGGTTGGGCTGAAGTTGTCCTCGCCGTTCTAGGTGACTTGCGTATAGAAGGAACGCCCCGGGTGCCGCTGCCATCCACACGACAGGCTCACATGACAGCTCCCCGTAGACATGCTCGGCTTCAAATTTCATTCTAGAACAATCATCATTTGATCATGAACTGTTTCTTTGCTTCCTTGCACGATCAGCATGGCATCGGTCGACCCATTAAGTATCGGCCGTGACAGGAAGATCAGGGGGCTAATAGGTAAAACCCTACTCCCACAAGGAACGGAAAGAGGCAGCCTATTGACCTGAAGCCTCTCAGAGTTCTCCGCGGATCTCCTCCCCAAGCTACCGACCGCCCACGACTCGAGCTCAACCGACACTCTTCTCGCCGACTTGAACCATCACATCACCACAGTCAATGCCATATCACAGAAGCCCGGGACCGTATCGCCCGAGACCGCAGAAGACTTGAAGGAGGCTGGTCGGGCACTATGGAACGAGTGTATCAAGGAGAAGAGGAAACAGAACGATGTGCTAGCATCGCCATTGAAGTCAAGGTTACTAGTCAGAACACGGCTGTTTTCGTTCCTCGTCAATGTTTTCGCCCGAGAGAGCCTCCGAGGGAGGAGGGGGAATGGGGAAGACGACGCTGTTGCAATCATCAACCAGGGTCTGATGCTGGCAAAGGTTTGCATCACCGAGTCGGATTTAGATGCTGCTCGATTGGGGTTGGCCAAGGTCACCACGTACATCGACAAGCTCAGGCAGTTGGATGCAGAGAATCACATCGGTCCCGGGCACAGATTGAATATCGAGGCGGAATACCTGACCATGCGCTGCGCTCTGGTAAGTCTGGTGTTTGGTGTCTTGCGGTGTGTCGCTAACATATTTAGTCGTCGAAAGAGGACCGCCTGGACGTTGCTGAACATATGTACACCAAAGCCGATAATCTCCTTTGCTGTCTCGATCCGTTCTCTGCTGAGCACCTGGCTGACACACTTCAAGACATCGGGACTAACTTGTCGGGTAAGGGTGACCATGAGATGGCGCTCAAGTGGTTGCGGCGAGCACATGCCCTGATCAACGGCCAAGAGTTGGAGAGACTCTCGACAGAGGGGCTGGAGATTCGGATGGTCATTCATCACGACCTTATCCAGACATTATTAGCGACACGTTCGCCCGAAAGAGTGCAAGAAGCCGACGACTTAGTATCGTACGTGGAATCGGAAATCGGAGACAAACCAGTTGTTCTACACTGGAAACTGGAGATCCTTCAAAGAGGCCCCAGCGAGATCTTTGATGTTGATGCATGCGCAAGCATACTGCGACGGATGGTTCGCTCCATGGACTTGTCAGATGCCACATTGGGGTTCCTACTACACAACATCAACGAGCTCCGGGAGAGGGGTTCTCGATTGGCGATCGGCCTACTCGATGAGCTATTACTGACTAGGTTGCTACCATGCGGGAATATGGAATGGATAGGAAAGACGCTCGTGCGACGGATATGGATGGGAACGATGGAAAACGAGGCTTCTGACGCCGCAACGAGGCTAATTCAACTTTTGGAACAACTCGCTGAAGACTCTAGGCCATGCAATATAGATGTTGCAGCCGCAGCACAATCGGTAAGGACTTTGACTTGCCATCTGCTCACATCAAATACTAACCCTGGAAGCTCATGTGGAAAAAGCTCGACGCGAGTTATGCCAAGAGAGAGTACAACATGGCAGAGTTGTGGTGCCGAGTAGCACTCCATCCCATCTTCTCGAGTACAGGAGAAGTGAGCCAGGGCAAGTTTGGGAGACGATTAATTCTCTGTGCAATAGCTCGCAACGACGCGGATGCTGCCAAATCCACCTTTGATACTCTACCAACATCTGTTCAGAATGACCAGCTCACAAGATACCTGATGTTCAAGGTCTCCTTGATCAGTTGGGATCACGACCTGGGCCGCCAGTGTGTCGAGTTTTTGAGCAAATCTTCCGAAAAGGACAGAAGTCGAGATATTCTGTATGCTTGTGTAAGAGAGGCACAGCAGTTGGGGGACAAACTTTGTACACTGGAGGCCCTGAAAGCAGTAACGGAGACATTTACCGCGGACTCTTCGACAGTGGCAGCGGCTCACTTGCCGTCTGTCCTAAGATGTGCCATCAGGATGATTCACTACATCGAGACCCAAGATAATCAGGGGGCGGACCAAGTCTCCGTCCTAATTCAAGATACCTGCGACGTCTTTGAGAAAGGCAAGTCACTTCCTCAGCTACCTATCAATACTAACGCATATAGCGGCCGAACACGCCAAATCAGACCCGAGGTGTGAAAACGGCAACAAGATCTTCACAGTTGCCGAGTTAGAATGGTTTCGAAAGAACGCCTACAATGTCGGGGTGACAAAGTGCCATGTCTAGGGACTTCGGCCTTTGATTCGCATCTTCAGCGCCTGTCTGACATTCATCGACTGCTATCCCCAAGATATCTCGTCGGAGAATACCGCTGACCTACAGCTCATGGCCATGCGGTGTCACTTTGTCATGGCTGCAGCAATTGTATCCAACGCGCGAACAGAAGACAAGGTGGACGAGGCACTCCAACGGTATTTGGAGGTGAGACAGCATGTTGCAATATTTGATGGACTATTCGAGAATCATTTTCAGAGCATTCTCGCAGCCCGGAATGCTCGGGTTTACACCGACTTGACGGCCAAGATGTCGACACTGTTTGTCTTTGATTTTGAAGGTGCCATCTGTCTGAAGAACTGGGACGATCTGGGTCAGATTATCCGAAAAGTGAGAGTGTGCAAGGACGAAAAGATGTACAAGGCAATGGGAGATTGTCTGCTGAGGAGCAATGCTTCAGGCCAAGGTACGGACTCTAATGGCACAGAACTGACAGGAAATACTAACACGTTTGTGCAGTCGTCTACACAAATCTACGCCTCATTATCAACGAAATCTTTGCTTTGGAGCAGTTCGATAACCAACGGCTGGCAAAATACCTCCGATGCATGTTTCACGCTGTTCTACCCCTGGATGACAGCCTTTCCCTGCAAGTCGTCGAGCAGGCTCTCCAGATCGCACGCGAGTGCAGTCAGGTAAGTCGCGAGATCTTGACAATGTACGTGCAAAACTCACTCCGGCTTGTAGATGCAGAAGCCTTTTCCCACGGATGAACTCGACTGGATTGTTGTCACGACGTTCAACCACGCGCTTGACATCCACGCGAGGGGCGATGAGGAAATGTGCCAGCAGTGGGCGCACAAGGCTCTTGCTCTGGCCGAGTATATGAGTGACCGCGGTGATCTAAAAGATGTACTACGCGAGAGGGTTGCCAAGTTGTGTTTGGGCAAGGGGACGTCGACATCTACGTCCAGTTGAGTGTCTAACAGTTCAGGGGTCAGTGTACTTTTTCCCTTGTAAATCTTCCTTGTAGCACAGCATATGCAAGCATCTTGATAGAGCCAACTTGGCCTCACACACCGGCGCCGTTGACCAACGGCAAACTCATATTTCTTCTCCATTCATTACCTTACATCCGCGCTCGAGGAACAAGACAAAATAAACATACAGCTTTATCTATGGGTCCCGCCCAACGCCAGCCAGGTGTGTGTGTGCGTGCGTCCGTGTGTGCCATGCACATGCAATCCGTACATCTCCGCTTTCGCTTCGCTTCGTTTCCATGCATGCAGTGTGTGTGTGGTATCTCCATCCATACATATTTCTCCTGCTCCGATGACTGCCTGATAGTAGCCATCTTTTTCAAAAAAGACAGACAAAGGAAACAAAAAGTAGGACGCCGGCCTGTAAAGATGCCCCTGAACCCATAGCGTACGCCCTTCCCCCAACTTTTCCTCGAGGTAGGTAGGTCCTCGTAATAGACATTAAAGATTCAGCTCCCATTATTCCCATCCTTCCACGTATGCTTCAGATGATGTTGGCAATGCTCAGCCGGTCCTTGCTTGTCCCAGCACCCGTCGTGCCCCCGCCTGGTGTCCTGCTGCCGCCTGGGATAGGGCTCACCGCCGCGCTGCTCTCCCCCATCTTGGGGGCCTCGGATCCGAAGCGCGGGATATCCCCCAGCCTTGGGATATCCACCGTCGATCCAGGCGTCTCGCTCTTGATAGGCGGTGGTAGTGTCCATGTCGTGTTCGTCGGCGTCGGCGTTGGTGTGGTCGGTGCGACGTCCAACCCTCGAATAGCAGCCTCGAGTCTCGCCCATCCACCCCATTCTCTGCTGTCGGTTTCGTCGAGGCCTGTGCGTGCTTCAGGGCTGAAAAGTTCGCTGCTGGCTGTGGCAGCTTGCGCCTGGAGTGGTGACGAGGCACGGCGAAGCGGCGTCTCACGTTCCAAACCTGCCCAAAGCCATGAAGCATCAGGTGATGCTTGGAGATCTGCTGAGACATAGGCAATCAAGTCTTCATCCCTAGAAAGCATCTGAAGAAGAGCAGTCTGGTCAACCGAAGGTCGAGAGTGGCCGAAAGCTGGGGGCGCATTCCTGGCCAAATAGTTGGTGTACTCGGCCCGCTTAGTGCCCAAGCTGGAAACGAAAAAGGACAGATACCGTCCACAAGCAACTGTGACATCCCTCCGCCCATCGATTGAAGCCAAGGCTCTGACGGTTGTCACTGCATGGTCCAGATACCCCGTGAGCAGGAGAAACAGTCCGCAGCGGAAGACGTGGGTGGTCAGCAAAGCGGTGGCCCCATCAGCCAGCAGAGCCGTGTTTGATCGGTGAAGGAGTGAGGCTGTCTCCAGAGCAATGTGTGTGCAACTCTCGAGGGAGGCCATCCTCGCCTCAGGTGGGTATCCAGGGTCGAGATGGTGTCGGTGAAGGAGGAGACGAGCATGGAAGAGATATGCTAGAGGCGCTAGGAAGTGAGGAGCCAGTGGCACGGTACTGGACGGTTCGCAGGCTGGAGGAAAAGTGCTCAAACATTTCTTGAAATGGGCATCAAGAGCTGATAGATGGATCGTGGACAAGGCTGGAGGGGTTAGAGCTGCGATGAGTGAGGTGTACGACCGTACAACGTGAATAACGGCAAGCAGAGAATGGGTCAGAGGCTCTGCTCCATTGGGCACCAGCATGCCTCCCTCATGGATATACTGATCGTCGACTCCAGCAGGCAATGAAACATCACAGTCCTCATCATTGATCAATACAGGCCGCCCCAGCTCGGCTGCCAGCGTTCTGTCCATGATGTAGATCATCCACCAAGTCCTGCGTCGCATCTCTCCCTCAATCACTGGCCATGGCCCCGATTCCAGATGGAGTCCCAGATCCTGACCAACTCGAACGGCTCTTCCCAGCCATGTCCAAGCCGCAGACTTGAGGTTCATCTCGTTCAGGCAAAGAGTGACAAGTGTCAGTGCCCGCGCATTGTCCAACGTGAAGTCGTTCGCCCATGGATCGATCATCTTGTTTGCCGTCTCGAGAAACTCGGCTGGCTCATAGAAAGAGTTTGGCTGCGAGTTTGATGTTGGGCTAAAGAGGCTGCCAGCAGCGAGAACCGAGAAGAATAATGAAAGCCATGCAGGAGATGCCCTATTAATGCCATTGTTGTTGTACAGGTCATTGACAGCTGCTCGAAAGGTCGGAAAGTGTAGAATCGGAAACATCGTGTGGGACGAGCACTGATAGGCGTGCAACAGCTGGTCTACCAGGTGTCTAGCTGGTAGCTCCGGCCTTGGGGGGTCAAAGAAGACGGGTGCTCGTTCGCGATACTGGGCCGGAGGCTTCCATATGCCTCTCGAGAAGTCTCGTACATTCGCCCTTGCTCTGGCCAGCTCCGGTACAGGAGCTGGTCGTTTTCGTCGTTTCGGTTCGGATCCGATCGTTGGTAAACTGGGGGTACTCTGTTCAGCTCCCTCGATATCGAGCTCCATTGGGCCCTCCCGGTCTTGAAGTAATCGTCGCAAACCACTGTTCTCCCTCTTGACCCGTTCCATCTGCTTCTCCAGATCCTGCACCTGCTTGATCGAAGACATGCGCCGGTTCGTCTCCTTGGTGAATTGGCACTTTACATTTCGGCTTGAGCACTCAGAGCAACTTGTCGTCTCCGTGGCATCACATTTCACTTTCCTTTCGCGACAGGCATCGCAACTAGGATCCTTCCTCCGCTGTCGATAAGCCCTCTTCTGTCCCTGGGCGCCGGGAGGACCAGGTAGCTGTGTCGATTGTGGGCCCGGGGTGCTGACCACCGAGTCGGTTGAGGCGAGGGATTCCTGTCCAAGAGAGGAGGGCGTTGTCATGGGACCGTATGACTGGAAAGACTGGCTGACAGAAGGGAGAGGGGGGATGCCGATCGGTTGAGCCGTCGCCGCTGGATTTAGGCGTGGGTTGGGATTCATGGCCCCAGTCGCAAAGTGGGATAATGACTTGGGCGAAGTGGCAGACGAGACTGAAGACGAATCGTAGGACCTAGTTGAGAGGTTGGGGGAGCGGGCATAAGGGTTCTGCGGTGTTGACATTGCTGAACCTCTTGGGATTGAGTCTCTAGCCGCGCTGGTGAGAGAAGATTCAAGGAGATCCCCGTGGGGGTTGACGTTAAAAGGACGTTGATCAACGAGCATATAAGTGACTCTGTTGAACAGAAGCTGTGAGAGGTCAAATACACGGAAACCGAGCCACCCTGCCACGCTCTGCCAGAACACGAGACTGCAGAGAGATACCGGTGGTCTGTCAAGCAACCCTTCGCCGGGGCTTCCAAACTATTACCGCCAATGTCTTCTTCCCTAGCGAACAGTGTAAATCCGACTCTGCAATAACGGTATCTGAGTTGATCCAAGACTGTGTAACCCGAGGCCGTTCTGCTCCGAAGGGGGCCTTCGGTTCATGACCTTGTTCAACGCCTGGAATAGATTGGAGGATCCCAAGGCGCGAGACCGTTACCAGGAATGGACAAGTGATGTTCTGTGGCGCTGTTGTCGGCAGAGGTATTCGGAATGGCTTCTATTCCCTGCCCAAGAACCAGTGGCTGGAAAGTATATCTGGACTTGGAGGCCAGCCGGTAATAAATCAGAACGAACGACTTGGGGAGACGGGCAGGCTGCTGCTGCTGCTGGGTGAGAAGGCAGACAGCCTGGTGACCTAAACCGGCGCGGTTCTGGAAGGGCCGCGAAAGGGGGACAAGAGTAGGCGAGGCCACGAGGCCAGGGCTGACGTCGTCAAGTTTGGCTCACAGTATCTGGGAGTAGGAGGAAGTGTATGGAAGAAGAGGCGCCTGCAAGCAGGTATATCGCTGCCCGTCACCCGCCGGGTACAGCAGCAGCACCGTGTTAGTGGCGCTGGTCCGTGATCCGGGGCTCTCCGCGCCTTAACGCAGATTCGGAAATATTATCTGGGCCAGCTATGGTAAATTGGGGGGAGGGGTGGCCGGACCCTGGACGAGTTGGCTGAGCAGGGCTGTTGAGATCAGCCATGGCCGCTAATGTGTTTCGAGCGGAGTTGGGCATCCTGGAATAAGTCGCCAGCAAAGACCCCGGATCCCGGTCAATCCATCCATGGGTCCAACAGAGTGCTTGTTTCCAAGCCTGGCCTGCCGAAGGAAGGAAGGGAAGGGAAGGGAAGCCCTCTCTCAGTCTGTCCAGTCTGTCAGAACTCGGGAGCAGCGATCTTGGACTTGCTAGCCGACCGGCAAGCCTAGTAGCATTATTGGTGGTAAGCGCCGATTCCGTCCAAGCAAACTGTCGCGAGACGAGACGACGACAGCACAGGACCACAGTAAGTAGGATAACGAGTCGTGATGATAGTAAATCCCCGGCGCCGCGCCGCCCGATTTCACTCTACCAAGCTTTTCTCGGCATCTGGTCCGCCTTTGGGGCAGCCGGGGAGGGCTAGTTTCGGAGATGCTGTGCACAAACAGCCCGGGACGATGTTCGGTCATCTTGCCTTATGCTGTCTTCTATGCCATGTGCTACCCCCGCGCCTGGATCGGCATGCCTTGGAGAAGCGAGGTAGGTTGTTTTAGTTAGAGACCCGAAAATGCGCCGAACCAAGCCAGCTGGAGCTCCTGCTCCTGCTCCTACTCAGGTGAGCGCGAGGCTCTGCGCTAGAAGAAACCAATCCACCAAGTCTTGACATTGGAGGCCGAATCGTGGCTCGTCTCGTGGGTGGCTTGTCACCAGAGCCGATATCATTAGTCTAGCACCAACGACCATGTGGTTTCGACAAGATGTAAGCATATTCGCAAGTCATGAGTCGGGCGTGGTCAGAACTGAAACACATCGTATGGTAGCGCAGTCATGGTTCAGTCGGCTCTGGCATATCGCAATCGTCGATTCGTGGAGTCTCGTCTGAACTGAACAACCTGAAGCTTGTCGACTCCTGATTCACGGCTGTCATGCCAGATATGTGGCGTCAGCAGCCGTTGGTTTGTCCA